ATTTTTTGTAAATCTTGGAATATGTTGACAAGCGTTTTTTCTTAATTGGAAATTGTTCTTAAGCATTTAATTGCAATATGCATTTAATGTGATAAATTCGAGATAAAAAAAATCTGGTGTCAAGTTTACGAGGTCGGATGACTACTCTTGTAAAATGTATCAAATGCATGTAAAACGTTTAAAAAAGTCTTAATTGGTTAGTAAAAATAAATATTTTGTATGAAATGTTCAAATTCATAAATTTTTCTTTAATCTTTAAGAGATAGTTTTGCCTACATACATACATTACTATGAGTATTAATACTACAATAAGTATTAATACTACAATATTACAATGTTTGCATTTTTAAATAATTTTTATATTTTTGGCAATTATATTGATTATATTTATTTTTACCCAGTAAATAACTTGTTTTTGCCTCTTAAAAAATACGATTAAATAACTAAAAATAAGTTTTAAGAATAATATTATCTTAAAAATATTTTTGTATTCTTTAAATTAATTAATTATATTTAAATAAATAAAATAAGACATTTTACGGAAATAAAATTCCCATATAAGGAATTACCTATGTATTAATTCCAATATTTATTATAATTTTTTTAATTTTAAAAATGTCAAATCCATAAGAATGTTAATAATATATTATGTATCAAGTTATATTATGCACGAGCAAAGCTAGCGAGCAAATGTTTGATAAAAACGAGTGTCTAGAGAAGTTTATAAGATTATTTTGTGTTACAACATCCATATACACATCCATATAAATTTAAATTAATGTTTAATATTTAATATGAAATTGAAACTTCGACTTTACGAAACAAAGTGGGTAATGGCAAATTTGCCAGTAGCCCATGAAATTTTATCTTTTTTAGGTAAGTCAATTTTTAACAATTAAAATGATCTTGTGTCCTTTATTACTTAATATTGTAGATGTATAGTATTTGTTTTTAACTCTACAGTAGTATAATTTGTTTTTTTAATGTTTAATTTTTAAAATTTTAATAATTTGTTTTATATAAATATATTATAATATAATATCATTGATTAAGGTTTACTCAACTTAAAATATGATGTCTTATTGAAATTATAATTTACTTAAAAAATATTAAAAATATTAAAAAATAACACCAGCTGGTGTTAAATTTAATACCTAAAGTTGTGTAAAACTTACACAAACAATGTGTTAAAGTTTAATTATTCTTCGTGTAAAATATTACACGAAATAAATAACAAATCAACACACTGAAGCTGTTTTAAAATATTACACGATTTCGTGTGGACTTGGAATAACACAGTTTGGTTTTGGCGCGTGTAAAGTTGTGTTAATCATTTTTTACAGTGTACACATAATAAAATACATGTGTACTCTTAAACACTAAATACAGTGTTACAATAATTAGATACGATCAATGACGTTTTCCAATAATCCGGCCCGTAATATACCCCGTCCCAAAAAGGCGCACTGGGTGATTTAACATGTTCATGTTTTGTGCACTTGGTATTTTTTTATAAATTAATTGTAAAAAAACACATTTACTGTACTGTATTCATTTAGTAAAAATGTTTTGGTTTAATATTTTATCTAAAAAAGCAAAATCACCAAGAATATCTAAATCTTCATTTAAAGATATATAAAAAGATTTTGTTGTTTATTTTTTTTTCCACTTTAGAGTTTTTTGCATTACATTTTTTAAAGAAAAATAAGAAGAAAAACAATTTACCAAAAAAATTTTAAGCTGGATATTTTAATACACCTCTTTGAAAGAAGTTCTTTCTACAAAAATAAACAAGAAATAATTTTAAAAAACCTAATTTTATTTTGCAAGATTTTATCTTATATTGTATATTTTACAACTTTGAAATATACATTATTAGATAAATTAGATTTTTAACATTTTTAGATAAAAAATTAAATAATATGTTACTCGGTATACTTAAATTTTAAAAGACATGAGATATAGCATATTACCGTTTTGGATTTTAGCGATATCTTGTGTTGTGTAAATAGGACATTTTTATACATCATTTTAAATAATTTATTTTGTTCAATATAATATTAAATATTATTTTATAAAATTGCAAATGCTTAGTGCATTAGTATTTTCTTATTTTTTTTACGCATATTTAGATGAAAAATTAAATTTCCTCCCAAACTAGGTGTTTTACGGAATATTTTTCCACCATAAAACCACACATTGGAATATTTGTGACAAATATTTGTGTATTTGGAAATATTCGAAAATGTGGATGGACAATACCCAAATTATATGCAACAAAGAGGTACACGGAGAGAAATGTATAGTAAATTTTAGATAGTAAAAAAAATATAGTAAAATTTACTTCAACTAATTTTTAGGGTAACAATATTATATATTCGTGAATACAATATTAAGATTGTAATACAAAATACTATTTTTTATTATACAATTTTAGTAAAGATTACAACACAAATATTACTAAATCATAAATGTATAATATATATTTTAATTTTTAATATGTTCGTATAGTAAATTGATTTTACTATCTACAAATAGTAATATTTACTATATGATTTAATCAAATGTATACATCTTATATTATAATATATTACACATTAATAAAAAATATAGTAAAAATAAAGATACTTTTATGTTTAAGGTAAATAAACAATATATTTAAATATAATATACAATATATCATGACATTCTAACCATTCAATTTTCTTAGTTTCTTGAATAAACTTTCTTGACCCATTACTGGTAATACTTATAAGAAAGAATTGAACCTACATGGTTGCATAGTATGTACCGATTGCGGCGAAGGCCACGTCGCGACGCGTCGTTAGACGGTGTGGATCACGTGATGTTCTTAAATCTCGCCTCTGTTGGCTTACCAACCATGTTATATAAGCTCAGGTATTTCTTGGTTTTGGGTGTGTTCCACTACTACAAGTTGCTCGACAGTGTCGTGTCGACAGTGATGATACCCAATATAGGTCAAAACACCTGTCTGTCGGTATTTGAAGTTGATGGAACGCATTCAAAACAAAAAACTTTGGCGAGGTGTAGGTTCAATTCTTTCTCATAACATTTTTGTATATTAAAAAGTACAATAAATATGTTACAATTTTTAATAATTTACTATACTTATTAGTAATGGAAAAAATTTAATTATAATAAGAATTAAAAACAAAATTGGTTGAGAATAATAATATTTTACCTTAAGGTTTAACATTCATGGATATTTAAAAATTACTAAATATGCATAGTATCTGGTAATATACAAGATAGTTGTCCCAAATAGTAATATAAATTATAGTAAAGGGTATTATAATTATGGTAATCAGCATTATACTTTTCTCCGTATAGGTATACCGATCTACATATTTAGCCAATATGTGTACAGTTCAGTTTTTTAGCTAATAAAAAATTCAAAATATTAAGGCAAACACATGTACAAATACGTATTTGCCTTAGGATAAAATATTTGGATAAAACTTTCATTCATATTAAAAAAGAAATTTTAAATTTTTATAAAGTTTTTTTTTAATTAAAAATTAACTAAATATAAAATGAGAAAAAAAATTGCATAGTCAATTTTATTTTTAAGAGTTTTCAGCAAGGTGCCACAAGTAGTATAATCCCATTTAAAAAAAGAAGTGTGGTTAGGTTCCACCCCTTAAAAGGGGGTGAACATTTTTGTTTTTTATTATGACTAAAAAGCCCTCAAAAAATCTCAATCTACGTGTTTTTGCCTTTTATAAAAATATTTTATTCTGAGGCTCTAGCGAATTAGTTCCAGTTAAAGTCGCCACCCTGTATAATAATAAATTTCCTTTAAAACAAGGTGTTTGTCTTCAATATAATATTAAACATAATTTAACAAATGCTTTAGTGTAATAGGTTTATTTTTGGATTTTTTTGTATATTCAGTTAGAAAATTGAATTTCCTTTAGGTGTTATTCGGTATATTTTGCTCTAAAAACAAATAAAGAAAAACAAGTAAAGCGTTGTAGCCTTCCATTACGGTTTTTAGCGATTTCTCGGCTACTGTGATGTTTAAATACTAGTGTTGCAACGGTTACGGTTACGGTTACGGTTAATTCACGGTTTTCGATATTATACGGTTAATCGTAACCGTATACGGTATTTACGGTTTTTCATGCTACTTTGTGAATGCATGTAAAAAGAAGATTGAAGAGTATTTAACGTTACCAAATATACCACATACGTCCAATCCGTTTTTAGTCCCGAAAACGTGTTACACGTTTCGGCGTTTGAGAGTGTTGACACTAACGCAGAGACTGTCTCTGACTAAGGTACTTATCATACAAACCATTGTCAGTGAATTCGAAGAGGTTGTTTTTGACTGCAGGTCTTGTGCAAACACCAAATAGGAACGGGCTGATTCCGCAGAATTTGCAGATGTTATGTTTTTTAAATAAAAATTTGACTGTCTTAAATTTTGAATATTAACTTTTAACTTTTTTATTTTTTAAAATATATTATTTAGGTACCTACTTAGGTTTTACTTTACTGTTTTTAGGTTTAAAATGTTACTTATTTTCTTTTTGTTTTATATTTTTATTAGAAATTCTGTTTTTGTTTTACATAAATTATTATTTAACCTTTACTGAACGTGTGTATTAATTTCATTTTGAACAATAAACTTTATTTTTCGTAATTCTGTTATTTTTTTGGAATAACCGTGAATGTATTCGTAACCGTAGAGCTAACCGTAACCGTAACCGTAACCGTAAAACCCGGAACCGTTGCATCACTATTAAATACCTTATGTTAAACATCGTTTAAAAGGGTTTTTGATTTTCTATAATGACTGATAATTTAAAACGAACGAAAAGCGCTTCGCGACAAAACAGCGGGTGGTTCGAAATGCTCACCGTCAGAGCGGTGCAAGCAAACCGTTGCCGCAGCTTTGGAGCGCGCTCGAAAACGCACGAAGCATCTCATATATAGCACCACATACACGATACGCCGCTTAGTAGTCGCAACAAACAGTTAACAGTAACAACACAAGAAGTCAGTCGACAGTTGACACTGAAACGCACGCGAATCGAAATGTATGTGAAAGTGCAACACGAAAATCTGTGAAAAGTTGTGAAAATTTTTTTTTGCCTTGTAAATTTTTTAAATTCACAAAAAATGTCTTCAAACACATATTTCACCGTATTCCTCTTCTTAATAATCCTAGAAACCAGTGTTAGTGATAAACACATCAACAGGACTCACTTAAAAAAAGACACGACGCCAATAGGCGGGTTTTCTAACTGTGGCGGGTGCAAAATGCGCGAAGAATTAAAACAACGTAATTTAGAAGTCATCAAGGCAGAATTACTGAAAAAAATGGGTTTCACGCATCCCCCAAATATGACAGGGAAAATTCTGCCTGATATCCCTCCACATATTCTGCAAGATTTCGAAATGCAATCCGATGAACCTGAATTTAAAACAGGCGTCTCAGTACATGAAGAAGAAGATGAATATCACGTCAAAACCCAAAAAGTCTTAACCTTCGCCAAACCATGTAAGTAAATTCAAAAATATAAACAAAAAATATAAAAAATTCAATTAACTACAAAAAATATATCTATAACGTTTTCCTGGAAATTGTCGGCAATCGAATTATTTTAAAAATACCAAAACCCTGTATATATACGTATACGTAGAGTTAAGAATTATTATCCAAACCACGTGGTTACAATGATTCCTTTAAAAACCATTCTAAAAAAAAAATTAAAATTTAATTTATGCAAAAAAACTGTTTTAGAAAAATTGTTGCTTTTGTTATAAAACCGCCCGAAATAAAAATATTTTACAAAACATACAAAAATAAGGATAATTAAAAAATAACCATTCCTCAAAAAATGTTGGGGACAAAATTTAAAAGATTTTTGTTCTGCTTCTAACTTTTTTCAAAAATCGTTATAATTTTAATTATTAAAAAAAAATACCACATTCTAAATTATGTTAAATTAAATTTGGCAAAATCAATTTTTTTCCTCATTCAAATTGATAATCGAAATAAAATACATGGTACAATGATATTTTGGTTTTGACATAGTAATAATTTGTCAACAACCATCATACACACAAACAGTCTCACTTTGTAATTTATACATATAATTGAGGTTATACATGTATTGTATTATTTTTGAAAAATAAGACAAAATTAGTGATTAACTGACATGTCAGTTTCTGCAGTTAAATAACATCTGCGGATAAATAACCTCAATTATTTGTATTCAAATGTCAAGGTGGGACTTTTGGGTATGGAGAATAGTAAAATAAAATGTATAAAATAAAAATATAAAGAATTTTATTCTGCAGAAAAAATATTTACAAATTTTTTTTCGAAAAATTGCTGTAAAGCGGGTTATTTAAAAAACAGTTTTTTAATACTTCTGAAAACGCGTAATTAAAATTGTAGCAATTTTCTAAAATATTGGTTTTACAGAACAATTTTAAGACTTAAAAATATAGAAAACTTTATTTTATACAAAAAACATAAAAACTTTTTTCGGAAAATTGCGATAAATCGATATACAATATATACATATACAATAGTGATTTTTGTTCAATCAGTTATCGAATCAAATTCAAACCTAACTTGGTATTTAGGTACCTAATAAAACTATTGCATGTATTAATTAAGGTTCGTCTAGTTGAAGTCTGCTCTATATTTTTATGATTGCATAACATTGACCTAAACACAGAGCCCTGACCTTACAAACAAAAATTTTTACTTCTAATAAATGTCTCTTGTAAACATAAATATATTAATTTTTTTCTTGTGTAAAATATAAATTCTTAAAACCATTAAATAAATCTCCTGATGTCAATATACTTATTTATGTAATACGAGTTTCACTATTTTTGTACAATTTTGTCTAAAAATAGCGCGTGCAATTATCATTTCTACACTCACATGAAACTGTTTCATATATTTTATAGTAATACCACCACGTTTTTTGAATTAATTTTTAACTTGGTACCAAACAAATGATTTTATGTTCTAAAATTTTCATTTTTTCTAAATCGCTAAATAAGGCTAAAAAACACCCTGTATATTTAAAAGTAACTAAATAAAAAATCCAAATGTCTTAAATAGCAACCCCTGTGTGCGCACACATGTTGAACGTCGTTATAAAAAATGTTTCCTGGGTTTTTTACACACACACAACACACACACACACACACATACACAACCACCATATGAGCATTAAATTAACATTTTACCCTTGACTTATTTTTTTTTCTCTATAACAGTTGCTAAGGATACAACCGTCCCACATGAACACTTTCATTAAAAAAATTAAACATTTTTTATCTTGTATTTATTTTTTTATTGGGTTATAATTTATACAGGTCGTCCCAAAAGTCTTTTGTCAAATTTTAGACGATTTTATGCTTATAATTTTTGTTTTAAGGTTGCTATTAATTTGTCCGTAAATTTTTTTCTACAGTAAGATAAATTCCTTAATAAATGAGGCGTTACTTGGCATTTTTATTTCTGAAAAGTTTTGAATTAAAACAAATATATTTAGAGAAATCACCATTTGTAATATACCATCACTAATTTATTATACAGGTGGCACCAAGTATGTATGGGTATTTTTTTATTTGAAAATCTACAAAGTCTGTTAAATTAGAGAAAAGTTTATTAAAATAGAAAAAAAATCTGCGGTTCTTAAATAATTTGAAAAACTGAAAATGTGTCAAAACCAAAAATTATTATTATTATTTCGTTATTCCTAGGAATTTTGAAAAAAGTTTCACATTTATATACATTTTTTTTTCGCTTACTAGATTTTGAGTAAGCATCACCATCTTTTGTTTTTCCTCTAAAATTAGCGAGACCAACGTCCAGCGTTATATACGTGTATAGGCGTTGTGCTCTATTTTTTTCTTATTCGACCCATATAAAATCGTTATCAATAAGGAAACATCCTTTTTTCTTTGGCAGTTAATTTAGATGCGATTTTTTATTTTATAAAATCAGTGGTTTACTCCTCGGTTTTCCACCCTCCTGGAATTTTTAATTGTTAGATGGAAAAAAATAAAAAAAATCAACTATTTATTAAACTATAAAAACAAAAGATGGTGATGGTAACTCAAAATATAGTAGCGAAGAAAACTTACTATCTTTCAAAATTTTCAGTTTTAAAAAGTTTTTAGATTTTTTTTATTATTATGAAAGTCGCTGTAAATTGTATGTTTATAGGCTTGCAATTACGCATTTTTCTCTAATTTAACCAAGCTTAAGGTGAATTGTTGCTCTTTAAATAAAAAAAATAACCATAGAAGGATACTTAATGCACCCTGTATAAATTTTGATAATAGTTTGTTAATTATAATATAATCAAATGACAATCTTGCGTGAAAACATTATATAATCCAAAATGTTATTATTATTTTGATATACGTAAGTTAATTTTAAAATATTAAATCTTCGATAAAAATAAAGCATAGTTTAAGTACAAAATCTCATTTCCTAAATTTTAAGGTTCAAAGTTCACATGGTTAATTGAACATATGTCAAAAATTGCTACAATATTTAAAAAAGTTATTTATAACTCCAAAGAAAATATGCCATAAAAATTGGTTTCAATATAAATTTTTGTAACTTTAAAATCACAAGTACATATTTTTTAACATAATCTGGTTCTTTTTTAACCAAGGTCGCCATAATAATAAAAATTATTATCACTAATTATTGTTTTTTAAGAATAAGATATTAAATAAAAACTTTTTTTTTCTTTAGCCGCTGAAAATGACAATATATTGGTCAGTAGTGACCTTGGTTGGCTCGTCCCCGACTGACCCAAACACTGACCCCTCCATGCAATTGTTTATAATTGCACATTTAGTGCCATATAATGTACAGTCGAAGAAAAAAAAATAACATAACGATTTTGAATGCTGTACATCTTGTTATATGTCTTTGGAGTTAATTAATACATAACTTGAAGTTTTTAAGACAATAAATTTAGAAGTTAAAAAGATATTTTTTGTTTTTATGTTGTAACCCTTTTTGAAAATTTTATTTTGGGGTTGGATAGAAAATTAAATTTCTTGTAAAACGAGGTGTTACTCGATATATTTTAATATAAAAATAAAAGAGTTATGGTAAAAAACATTTATCATGGTCAACCATTGCTGATTTTGTTTTTATCGATTTCTTGCTTGCAATAATGCTCGAGTATGAAATATTAGGTATCATTTTAAAGGGTTTTTGATTGTCCACAATTGTATGTAACGTATATATTTTCTAACGTCAAAAATGTTGATTTTTATAGGAGTGTTTAAAAGTGGTTTGGTGCGTATATAATGTGTGCAATATAATAAAATACGGTCACATTTCTGGCCATGAACCTGTAACAATAAAAATGATCATCAACAGTGTGTGCGAATGGCTAAAATGATTATCTTTATGTAGCGGCTTTGTTAAACATTTGTTTCTTCTTGCAACGGTCAGCGTCCCAAGTTGCACACAATGCAACTCCTAAATTTTTATTTCACCCTTTTTTAATCAATTAATATTATTTTTATTTGTAATATCCGTTTGCCTTTTTCTTATATAATAATTACTGTGAGAAAATGCTATTGCCATAATGTTTTAGCTTAATTGTTACAAAATAAGTCAAAATCAGAAAAATCCACAAAAACTCAAACCCAAAACGGTTAAAACAATAAAATTATTTATTTTATTATTATTCCCTCAAATGTCACATTTTTATTATTCTTGATTTCTATTAAAGGTAACTTACGCAATTAAGAAAATAAATATAAACAATATTATGCAGAAAAGTATAAATAAACCCGCTAAAAAAGATAATAATAGTTTATATAGTTATTATTAATAGTAAACATATAGATAGAAAGTCGTTGTCTCTATTTTATAACTCAAATTTATTTTTAAACATTTTTTATTTATCTATATAACCTTTGGTTATCTATTTGTTGCCATACGGCTAAAATGCGTGATTTTTTTACGATTTGTAAGTTTCATACAAAAATCTATAAATAGAAAACAATGATTCGAAAAAATGTTTTGTAAATAAATTTATAGGGTATTTTAGGAAAATATTAGCCTTTTTACATTGTTTATCACTGAAAATGCATATAAATTCTATAAATACGATAAATATATCAATTTAAAACTTAATTTAATTAATGAGAAGCCGGATTGTTATGAAAATTTAAAAAAATTTTATCACACCACATTTTTAAACAATGTTAAACATGTAATACATATATTTAAATGTACTGAAAATATTTTATTAAATATTTAAAATACTTTAAATTCAGTCACTATAAATAAATTAATTGTTTGCCTATATATTGGTCTATACATTATTAATATATAAATAATTACAGAGGTCAATCATATAAATCATAAGCATAGCAATACAATGTATTATTAATAAAAAACTTATCTTTAGAATTGATTTAATTTACAATTTATATTTTTTTGTATACTTTAGCATAACTAGATAGAAAATTATATTTCCTTTAAAATGAGGGGTGAGTCGACATACCCACCTCAAAAAACAAAAAAGTTATAGCAAAAAAACCTCCTGCCACCTTACTATTGTTTTTACCGATTTCCCGCCAACTCTTCCTTTAAACCAGCACATGTTATATACTGTTTGAAAGGGAATTTAATTGTCTACAACTTAGTCATCCACAAAGGGGTAAATAATTACATAGAAACAGTTGCGTGTGCGAATAATGGGGGTTCGGCAATGTTTTTGTAATTTTCTGTACATCCTTACTCGATTTGTATGCAATTGTATGAAATGCAAATTGTTTTGTAACTTATTAGTAGTATTTCCCTATGTTTAGGAAGTAAAGTGTTTCCTGGGGACGATTTTAATCTTTGTGTTTGCGTTCATATTATGCGGCAAAAATAAAAAATATTTAATCAAATTTCTTTTAGTTTGATACCCGACAAGGCATATTTAGTAGCGAAATCAAAAGAGTTATTTTTAAAAATCACATTCTTTTTTTTTGTTTAATTGCGTTGTTTTTAGGTGAAATATTGTCCACATATAAAGTTAACGCTCCATTTAAATAAAACAAAACAAAAATAAAAAAAAATACTCGAAAATGCTGATTACAAAATAAAATGTCCTTTTGTTTGATACCAAACAACCCATATTTTATTGTAGAAAAAACAAACAATGCCAAAACACACTTTTCTAAATCTACCAAAACCGTTTATATTTTTTTGTTTATTAGCGTTGTTTTATCGTGACATAGGGTTACTATGTGCTTTATTCGTGGGACACTCTACATCATTATTTTTGTTTCAGATCCAAAATTAAGGCACAACATGAAGCAACACGAGATTCTGCACTTCACGTTTAGCGATTCGGTGACGAAATTCCACGTTGCCAACGCCACGCTCTTCGTTTTTATCAAGGGGGCGGAAAGGCGCCCTCTACCGGACGTCCACATTGAAGTTTTTAAGGTTAACAAAGTCCCTGATCATTCTGAAAAAATGCCCGACCTAAAAAAGGTTTACAACAAAAAAATCACGCAGCCTTACAACAGAGGCGAGTGGATCAAAATCGACTTCACCGAGACGACTTCGGAGTGGTTCAAAAATGGCAGAGAAAATTTTGGTTTCATTATAAATACTACAGTTAATGGTAAAAAGGTTTCAGTCATGGAAAACCAGGAAAAAGTAAGTGCGGATTGTTTAATTTCTTTATCAATAGGGTTATCGTTAAAAAACGGCGCGTGTAAAGATAAAAACAATTAGTTAGGACTACACTTAGATTTACGAAAGTAGGTTTTATGTAACAACTTAGTTATAAATCGAATGGAAAATTAAAAATCGTCCTCTTTAAGGGGTTACATCGTAGGTTTTCAAACAAATACAAATAAAATATCGCGAAAAAACTTTTACTTGTCCTACTAAGATGATTTTGTTTTTTGAGTTTATTTGAATTGTTTTTAGGTCAAATATGATATTGTATATATTATTGTAACAGGAAATAGTAGTTTTGTGGAGTGAAAATATAAAAATCGAGAAATTGGAAAATTAAAAAAAAATATTTCTTCGAAGATTTTATTAGAGAAATGAAATTTCCGTACGTTTTATACTCAAAACCCATATTTGGTGCTAAAAACAAACGAAATACACTCTAAAAACATTTTTTCACAGCACACTAAGCAAATATGTTTTTTTAGCGATTACGTAGTTATTTACAATAAAAATGAATGTTGATTGTTTTAAAAAAAAATTAAATTGTCTACAATATTATTTTACTTTCAGGTACCATACGTCGATATATCAACGACGGAAAGCAGAAGACGAGTTCGGAGGTCCATGGGGTTAAATTGCAACGATTCGATGCAAGAATCGCTGTGTTGCCGATACCCTCTGGTGGTGGATTTCGTGCAGTTTGGTTGGGATTTCGTTATAGCGCCGAAAAAGTACGAGGCCAATTATTGCGGTGGCGATTGTCCGTATGTTACTTTGCAAAAATATCCGCATACGCATTTGATGAAGATGGCTTTTCCCAACTCGGCGCAGCCCTGCTGCGGGCCGAGGAAAATGAGCGCCATATCCATGTTGTATTTCGATGAGAGTTACAACGTGGTGTATGGAAGTTTGACCGGTATGGTCGTGGATAGATGTGGTTGCTCGTAAAGACATTTAAGTGATTGGACTACTATTTAAATTATTTATTTTGACATTAACTGTGTATAGTGACTTTTGTATGCATACGGCCCCTGGTGCCGCGGCTACCCTTAAGGGTTGGACTAAGAGTGTACAAAGTTTTTTGTAAATATTTTGTAAAAAGTATGTGATATGCCTAGATTTAAGTATCTTTTTATATTTATTATGTTATTTTTGTATTTCATCAAAAATTTTAGTGAGACGAAAAAATTAAAAATTTAAAATCATTTTTTGTTTAAAAATTGTGATAACTGCCTTAAATTTCGACTAGTTAAATGTGATAAAATATTCAGAAATAATTTTTAATTTTTTTTTGTAAATATTAAGACTTTCAATTATAGATCTCTGTATATTTTGTATTTGGAATTATATGAAGTAATTATGAAAAACAGTTTTTTAATTAATTACGAGAAAAAATATTTAATACGGTATGTTTCAAAAAAACAGTAAATACTACTAAATTAAAAAATTAAAATGCAAAAAACTGTTTCCTTAAATATTTAACTTGTTTTCTGAAACATCCTATATTTCATGTTAAATATTACTATGTGTATATTTGGCAACGTTCGATTTGCTTATTGGAGGTTGCCAAATTTTTCTTAAATTGTGTGAAATGCTTTTTCTACCTGTATATGTATTTAGAATTAGTTTTTGCTAAATAAAATAAAATCTTCATCAAAATTTACCGATTTTTAATAATTTACCTACAAAAAAGTCGACCAAATGAAGCTACAAGAAAATAAACAAACGAGAATCTAGAAACTGGAATAGTGTCAAAATGCCATACCGTTACCAACCTTACCGGTAAGCAGTGTTGCCAGTTTTAACCTAAAATACCCATAACAACATAATTTAATTTTTGTTGTTGAAAAGTTTCTTTGCAAGAAGGAACCCGATTACAAGGGTCTGCAAAATTTTTTACGCCATCTAAAAGTAATACTTTTTCTTTAAATCTTGATTTTTTTAAATATTTTGAGAGAAGGTTTATTTAAATTTGCTTAAAAGTTTAATTCAAAATTTCTATCATAAATTTTATCTAAAGATTTCTCGAAGACGAAAAACAAATTGGAAAAATTTAAAAAGGATTTTAAATAGGAAGAGTATACTCTAGTACTATAGTACTTTTAGATGATATAACAACCGAAGCTCCACCAATTGGTGGAGAAAAATTATTTCTCAGCAATTTTAATTTTTGAAAAACTTTTTTGCAAATTTTATCACTCACTGTATAAAGAGGGTAAGTTTGGCAACATATCATTCATTTCGGTGACAATCTAACAGAACAATATACATTAAGAACAGCAAAAACAAACACATCTTGAAGAGTTGCCTTTTTTGGCAAGCTGTCCCATACAATGTTGCCAATATAAGTAAAGATGTTTTATTTATAAAGAAATGAAATACTACTAGTCGTACGAGAAATGGGTTGGGCCTTTATGTAATTAATGCAATAAAAAAATGTCAGAACACAAAAACAATTTTTGTTTCATTCTTCTATTTAAACACGTTAAAAGTAATAGGTGTTTTCGCGGTGCTAATCTCGAACTATTTGGACCTTGCATGTGCATTTTAAAATTTGCTATGCGTATATTAAATTATAAACGCCAAATTTTAAAAAGCTCATACCCAGGATTTCTGGAATTAGTTCGGGATTAGCTCCGTGAAAACAGCTAATATTTATTATTTAGGGATTTTTTGCCCTATTTGGCAACTCCGCGATGCATATTTTATACGAGTTTTTTGCGGAATCTTTGTTGTGTGAGAAACTATCCGATATCTTCCCACAAAAATACATTTTTAAACTATAAAACCGATTTTATAAATCGCGTAAAAACGCGATGAAACTCATTTTTACAATAAAATTGAAATTAAAAAAGTCATGGTAAAAAAATACGTTTATTTTTCATAAAATGTACCTTTTGCTGTTTAAACCTCATTTTTGCAATAAAACTTTAACTACAACATGTTTAAATAACTCACTATGAAAAATAATTATATTTTGTAAACTGGTCAATATAATTGATTGTTGCGACCTTTAATTGATGATATTATGATTATTATTAAAAATTCTGAAGAAGCCATGGCGAAACAATTACATTATAATGGTCGATATATTCAATGAATAAAATCGCGTTAAAAGGACAAAGTAGTTTATTATGTATCAAGTTTGATAAACGCCATTTTATTCACGAATTTAATTTAGGCACGAGCGAATTTTTAATTAAATGAGTCTAGAAAAGTTTAGAAACGAGTTGCATACTATACTTTTTCTACGACAAATACTTATTATAACCTAAAAATGATTTAAATTAAATAGTTGTATAGAGCGACATCTATACAAAAATAAAGTAACTCGCGTAACAATTTCTAACTTAGGAATCTGTATTACAGGCGCGCCAGTCAAAATTTCAAATTTGTATGTGTAAACCGAAATTAATCCCTTGAAAATGGACTAACATGATATAAAAGCAGTTTTTCACAGTGAAAGTGAAAAGAATGTTATATGGGCACTTCGCGGCAATCTCCACCCGAAATGTTTAATGCTTTCAGTTAAATCTAGTTTACTACCGGCAAAATCAAAAGGTCAGTACAAACTTGCATATAAACTTTTCAAATAGGTATTGGGGTTGAGAAACTATTTAATACTTTTGTATTTTGTATTGAGATAATAAAATATTTTTTATAATTATATTTTAATAATAATAATTTTTATAATTATATTTTAACACTTGTCAACTTACTTAAGGTAGTTATCGTGCTGTAAGCATACCATCAGAAAATTTTAAATTTTTGTATACTTATTAAGGACATGATAATACATAATATGTATATTATATCCTTAAAATTTGAAGTCGATTGACCGTCTATAACCCGAGATAAATTCAATTAAAAATTGGATAATTAACATGGATTGTATAGGCTTTCTGTAGATCTGTACCAGTTTCTTAGTTATACAGAAAAAACTAACTGTCAGAATCTTTCAAAATACTAACAGTGTTTTAATGTATTTTTGCTGAGTTTAAAAAAATAATTAAAAATTTTTGACCGTCCAATTGTTTATAAATAACCGTTTAAAGTTCAACAATTTGTAAAAAGTATACATCACTAGTGTCAGATAAAAACAACTTGGCAACGCTGTACGCTGTATATTATTTCCGCAGTAAATTCAAACGGACTGATTCAGTCTCCAATATATCTATTGGTTGAGCATAAGCGACGTTGCCGGATTAAAACTTATGAAAATATTTGAAAGTATTACGTAAAGGTAACGTCTCCAGGGTACAGTCTTGCGAACAAATTATGAATCACTTAGCTACAAGCTCGTATACTTTTACGGGCGTATACGCACCGTAAAAGTATATTGTCAAAAATTTTCAATATATTGTCAAATATTGTCAAATATTGTCAAAAATTTTTAGATTATATATAATCTAAAATTTTTTGACAATATTGTACCTCGACAACTACCTTAAAGCCACTTTAGCCTGTGACTGTTGATAACTTCAGCCCGTGTGTATTTAAAATATCACTTAGTGTCATGGAAACATGTATGATAATTATAATTGGGGTTTTAAAGGTGGGAGTAGAAAACAAATTTTTTACGATAAAATTGAAATTAAAGAAGTCTTGGTATAAAAAAATCTGAATACCTAATACTTATATTATGTTATAAAATTAATATTTTTAAAAGAAAACGACTTTTAGGCTTTGAAACACATTTTTGCGTTTTTTAATTTAATGCTCGAAACAAAACCTACGGTGTATTTGGCCCGTTCTCAAAACATGGATACACCTTGAGTGGAAAAGCATTTTATAAAATTTTATAAAACAGTTGCAGTTTGGAATTATAAAACCGAATTTATGAATAGAATTAGATTGATATTGATAATAAAAATGAAAGTCTATTTTTCTCCAAAACTAATTTTTGTGCTTTAAACTTCATTTTTGCAATAAAGCTTTGACCTCACAATGTTTACATAAATTACTATGAAAAATATTTTTATTTTGTAAACTGGTTGATAGGTACTAGGGGTGTCAATCCCACACAGAAAAAAATCTAACATAGTACCAAGAACAGCGCTGTCATTGCAATTCATGAATGCATTAAAATTGAAGCAATCGAAATTGTTATTTGCTCAATTAATTACCATTAAACCGAAATAAGGAAATATTTTGCCTAAATGTCAAAGAATTTATTGCGTTAAATGTATACATAGTATACATACAATAGTAACGTTATTAAATAAATCAAATTAGTATTTAATGCAATAACATTCTAACATTCTAACAAATAAATATCAATAGATTTGAAAGCGATAACTTTTGTTGTTAATTTAAAAACAGTAAATGATTATAAACCAAGTGCTAACTACCTATTGGTATTATAGGAACTGTTATTCAGGAATACGGATTACAAGATCCCATTGGTTTAATGGCTCACCCATTCATGATATGCTAGCGTTTTTTCTGTGCAGGATACCGAAACCCCGGGATAAAAATTTCCAATCCCGGGATCTTCGTAATAAGTTACAAAGAATAAAATATATTTTTAATGGCATTAATTCTTAATTATTATATTAATTACCGAATAATGCGGCACAACAGATGACATAATATTGTTGGCAATTGAGCCCTTTAATATAATACATACTTATAAATAATCTTTTACAGAAACTATGGTTATACAAGTAGCAAATACCGCTAAAAATTAGACAGTGTTTTCTTAACACGTTGAATGCGGATGCTAAAACTAAGCCTAATCTTTCAAGTGCGGTTTCGGTCTTCTGCGGCCGATGTTGATAAAGTCTAGTGAGCACACTGTGTGCGGTATCGGTCCTTAGGAAACGATATTTTGAAACATATACTTACTGGTAAGTATATCTGTTGAAAAAGATATAGCGACATCTAAATCAAAATATATAAATGACAGTAGTATTTTCTGTACAGAATTCTGTTAACCAATTCCCACGAGACCGTAACCGCACATAATTATATAATTTTTGAAATTCAAATATTAATTATTTGTTATGTCGAATTTTTAATATTAACCCTTGAAACACATCTTGCATGCAAATGTAATGCAAACGCGTTTAAATGCACTCCTTTGCACAAAATTTGTTCAAGGCGGTGTCCGCATTTACGCACAAAGTTTGCATTGAAAATTTTCTCAATTTTTGTTAAAATTCTAACAAAATATTTACACCAAAAATATGTAAAAATTTCTCTTATTATTTACATATTATAATAATAAATATATCTTATGAATCTTTGAATTCATT